AAAAAAAAAGAAATTTTTATTTATTAAATTATATTTTTGGTGCCAAGTCACAATATTTTGAAGTTCAAGGTAAATTTAGTTTAAAAATGAAAGTTAAGGAACTGAATCGAGGATTTAACCTTTTTTTTTTTAAACCTTTAATCAGCAGTGGGGCCCACAAAAAAATTGGCAGCAAGAAGACTTCCCGCTCGTGGGGTTCCAAGTTGGCATGCTAGGTTGTCAAAAAAATTCTCAGTTGGCGCTGACATGCGCATACTTGACGGAAGCTAATGGTGCACGTGCTACACGTGACATTCCGGCGTTAAATTTTGCCTCATTTCCTTAACTCGAAAACGTTGAGGGTAAAAATTCATATATTATAATATGGAGGGTAAAAACCCTAAAAGTCGAAAAGTTAAGGGGCAAACGGTACCTTTTGCTGCATTTTCTGCGGGCATGAAAAAGATGGTGGACAAAAACCAATTAACAAATGTTTATTTTTCATCCATCTTCTCTAGATGGGTAGCCATTCAAGAATTATCTTACAAATGTTCATTTTTCACGTTTTCCATTGATACAAATTAACAGAAATTACGTACCTCTGAGTCTGTTGGAAATTAGGACAGGGGAGGCGACGAAAAAGATTTTCATCTAATTAAATTAAGACCTTGCTCCTCTTTCCCACATTCGCTGAAACCAAAGCGGCTGCTAATTATGATTAAATATCAATTGTCTTGGTCTATTGAAAAAATTAAACTTTAGTATTTGGTTTAATTTAGTTAAGAATTTAACTCTTATCAATAATTTAAAATTTTTTCATTTTCTTATAATTTTTCACGTTAAAAAAACCTAATTTATTATGTGATAATTTTAAATAAATTATTTAATAACAACTTGTTTGATTTAAAAACAGAATAGATAATATCCTCTCTTTTTTTCTTTTTTTTTTTCACTTTCATTCTCTAGTTTAATTGTATTAAAATTATAGAAGAAATTAAAAGAGAACTCCTCTCTTCCCCTATTCTTCAATTTTATTATTTAAATTGAGAAATTTATGGCCATCCTCCTAAACCAAACAAATTATTAATAAGAAGTGGGATTTATGTATGGTTAGAGAAGAGAAAAGCGAAGAACTAGTTGTGGTCATGAGCTTTCGATAACTTCAAGAAAGGGCGCATGTGTTGTGCGGATAACGCCCGTCCTTCTTTGGGCTACCATGTATAAACTTGTTTGATGTGATGTACCTTAAAATTATTTCATATGGTAGGAATATCACATAAGTGGTGTCCTTATTTTTTAAAAAATATATAAAATTTTAAAAAGATATATAATGTAAAATTATAATAAGTAATTATATTAAAAAATATTATATTAACTATTTAAATTATAATAATAACTCAAACCCATATAAACATGATTATTATAAAAATGTATAATAAAAATAATATTAGGTGTGAATTTAACTCCAAAAAATATTTCAATAATTACTCTAACTTACACCAATTTTAATACAAAGCCTGCCTAGAAAGGCTTTTTTATTTTTTATTTTTAAATTTTCGAGAAGTCAAATCAACTAGGAATCCCTAAGTTGGGTTTATCTTTGCGTAACAAATGCTCCCTTAATCTCAGTCAAGCAATGTGTGGTTTACATCACACGACTTTCATGTTTCTCAACCACGTCTGTAACTGCTACAAGCCTACAACCGTTGCGTCAGTGCCGAAAAATGTCAGCACTACTAGCTTCCAAAATGACCATGAGGGATTTACGAATTCATGAATGAGTTGATCGGACTTTTTAGTTTAATTAGAAATTTTGATTTTAAATTTTAAAGATATAATTTTGTTAAAATTTATAAAAGAGAGTTTTATTATTTATTGAATCTTGTCTAATTCAAATTTAAATTAATTATATGATTTAGTGAATTTTTAGATATTTGATGATTCAAATCAAAATAATAAAAAAAATTTTTGACCACAACGGGCTCTCGCCTTCCTAGCTGGATTACTAAAATAGCGACTTTGGTCATGCCCTGTTTGGATGTCCCAATTTTTCTCCAAATAAATGAATACTCTATGCAACATCACAATTTAAATCTAACATGAATGTTGCAAAATTTATGAAATAATAATAATAATAATAAGTAAAGCATGGTAAAATCAAGATGATCTGAGTGCTTGGATTCTTCCTAAATCAATACTCTGATTTTTGCACAATTTATTAGCATCAAATAACACATGGACTGGCTGGACTCCTCCATCTTCAAATTGTATCAAGATTAACACAGATGGCTCTGTTATTGGCAACCCCGGACCTGGTGGATGTGGAGGTCTTATTCGGGATTTAAAAGGGCAGTGGATAATGGGATTTGTCAAAAATATTGGTGATACTACTACCCTTGCTGCTGAGCTCTGGGCCATCAAAGATGACTTGGCTATTGTTGTTAATCTCTAACTCCAGCATGTCATTATTGAATTTGACTGTCAGATTGCTATTAAATTATTTTCTGATGACGTGAGTAAGTTTCACCCATACAGTAATCTCATCATGGATTGCAGGACTCTTTTGAGCAATATTCATCAAGTGTGGCTCCAGCATAATCTTCGACAATGTAATATGGCTGCAGACGCCCTTGCTAAGAAGGATGTTGTTTCTTCCCCCTTCTTCTTTTGACCTGTTGTATGATTGCCCTGCTGATGTGGGCTTATTTTGCCTGGCTGTGGCTGATGTTGTAGGGGTTTGCTACCCCGGAACCTAGTTTATGCTATTTTACTACTCTCTTTTTACCAAAAATAAAAAATAAAACATGCATTTGGGTTTGTAATCTGATAATTATATACTTTTCAAGTGTACCTCTCAGGGATGGAGTTTGAATATGGCAAAACCTTTAAATTCACCTAGTAAATAATTTGATAAAAATAAATTCACTTTTAAAAAAATATAAAAATAAATTAATCATTCAAATTATAAATCAAAACAAATCACTTATTTTTTAACAAAAAAACGTTAAAATTCTATTTACTACCTTAGTATTTTTTAATGAAAACGTTAAAAAATAGATAATTTATCTTGATTTATAATTTAAAAGAATAATTTATCTTTATTTTTTTTTAAAGTAAATTCATCCCTACCAATCTATTTGAAAGATGGATTTGAGGATTCTATTGTTTGAATCCCCCTCCCCAATTTGTAATCCGTTCAAAGAAAAGAGATGGAAATCTTTTCATAAATTTTTAAGATAAAAATATTTTAATAGAAAGTATTAAAATTCTAATAGATTAAGGGGTGCTTGTTTTGATGATTCATTTCTACCGATTGTTAATTTTAATTAAATGTATTAAATATTATGAATTATAAATAATAATAAACATATATGTATCAAAGGAAAAATATAAATAAAAAATAATTTAAAGATAATTTTTTATATAATTTTATATATCATTTAAATAATTAATTTTATTTATTTATTTAAAACTTGTGATATTTTATATATTAACTAATATATTGATAATAAAAATTATATAAAAAATTATATAAAAATCATTACTTAATAAATAATAACAATTATTAATCATAAAAGAATTAAGTACCAACTGTCAAATGCATTTGAATAATGAATCTAACACCTACTCACAGCTCATACTTATTAAGGACCAGCTCATCCTTTTTAAGTACCAGACAATCATTTCATCACTCTCGAGTCTGGATCCTCCAAACACGCCCTTCATTCTTTTCACAAAATATGTTCCCCGTTTTAAATTTCTTCCCTGCAACAGCAAGACGAAGGCTTCGTCAAACAAATCCGGCCTTGAATCGAAGAAGAATATTAGAAACCATCTATTCCATTGTTAAACCACTACATAGGCTTTGGTAATATGTGTTGTATGAAGATTTATTTATTATATTTAAATAATATAAAGATAAAAAATTGACACTTACAAGGCTCAAACAAATTATAAATGTTTTATAAGAAGGGGTTTAATTTGAAAACATTATCTATAATTTTAACTATAAAATTTTTAGTTCTTTAATATTTAAAAAATATATACTTTTAAATATATTTTATATATTTTATATTTATTTTAATTAATTTTTATATATTTTAAAA